GGTGTGTGAGAAAGCTTTAGGTGTGGATGGGATGACTCTGAAGTCCCTTAAGGAGGACGGATATAAAGCCGTCTTCATCGGGATCGGTGAGTCTTCATCTGGATCCGGTTTGGTTTGGTTCACTTAGAAAATAAACCTGGAAGTCAAACGTGTGTGTGTGTGTGTGTGTGTGTGTGTGTTTTCCAGGTCTCCCCCAGGCCAACAGAGCTCAGATCTTCCAGGGCTTGACGGTGGATCAGGGCTTCTACACCTCTAAGGACTTCCTGCCCATGGTGGCCTCCGCCAGCAAGAAAGGTAAACCAGACTCTTTTTTTCTTCTTTTTTTCAAACTTTGTTTATTGAACATTTTCAACGTAAGACAGACATTTTTGGGACAAATTCAAAACGTCAATACAATCTCAATGTCTACCCCCGATCCACCCTGACCACCCACAGGCCAAAAATAAATTAATAAACAAATTCATAAAAAAAAAAGTATAAATAAATAAAAAGTATAAAGAGAAAAACAGATAAAAAAAAATAAAAAAAAGGGGGGTAGACATTAAAACCAGACTCTTGAAATAAAACCTCCATTTAATCTGGAAACTGGATCAACAACGTCAGTCATTAACTCTCTTAATTAGCTTTGGGGGGAAATCAATTAATGTATAATCAATTTATTCACTTATCTAGCGGTAACTTTTCTACTAGGTTCTTTCCTCCTTCAGGGTCTCAGAGAAGGTCTTCTCTTTATTGCTTATACTTTATATTTTCTTATACTTTATCTCTTCATATTTTATCTGGAGGACTCTGTCACTTCCAAGTTTTCCGTTTTAATACATTTTTATTTCTTGCGTCCTCAGATGGACTGGAAAAAACCTGCTGATTTGTTATTTATTTGTATTTTTTTCCATTTAATTTCTCACTTTTTTATGCACTGTTGGAGGTTTCTGGAGCCTCTCTCCACTCTCAGGCCTCTGATAAGGGAGAGTTTCCATGTTGTTTTAAATGTTGTTTTAATTGTTTAATTAAAATCTAAAGATTCCCACTGGGATCTGACCTCTGACCTGTGTTTTTTCTCCAGGCCTGTGCGGGTGCCGGTCAGCGCTCCCGGCTCTGCGGGGCTCGGTCATCGTTCTGGGCGCCGGGGACACGGCCTTCGACTGCGCCACCTCCGCGCTGCGCTGCGGAGCCCGCAGGGTCTCCGTCTGCTTCAGGAAGGGCTTCACCAACATCAGGGCCGTGCCCGAGGAGGTACGGGGTCAGGGGTCAGGGGTCAGGGGTCGGGGGTCAGGGGATCCGAGGGGTCAGATGTTGGGTGTCAGGGGGGAAGCGTCTGTTTTCCTCGTGCTGTTTCCTGTCAGATGGAGCTAGCTAG